CTCTAAAACAACTTAATTAGAATAGTGTAGCTAAATGCATATAATTTTCTTTTTAGTTATTTTTTTTTTTAGTTTTAGGGAAGGGTCTACAGAGTGTTCAGGGTCTCACTACTAGATTGGACTCTTAGTGATCCAAATGTTTACAGTCTCCCAAGTGTTGGCATTACAGGCATGCTCCACCATTCCCAGTCTCATTTGCTGTCTCAGTGCACCCCTGGGGTGAGGCTGTCACGAAACGCCCAGATATCAAAACCCTGGCCCTGTGCCTGCTTGTAGGCACTTTAATCCACTGAGCTATTTGGCATGCCCTAATTTTCTTTTTAATTAATTAATCAATTTTGGTGATTCTTGGGGTACAACCTAGGACCTTCACACTGAGCTACATATCCAGCTCTTTTCTAAAAATTTTTGAAGATGTTTTCTAAATTGTCATGCCAGACCCAAACTTGAGATCATCCTTCCTCAGTTACCCAGAGTGTTGGTATTACAGGCAGGCTCCACAGCATCAGCATGTTGAAATATCCTTTAAATAAAACATAAACAGCAAATATTTTTGTAGCATTATAAAATAGCTGGCCACTCAATAGAAAATAGCACACTAGTGGGATCCCAGCGTATTTTTCTACTCTTCTAGCCAATTAATAACCAATTGATAACCCTATCCTGAAATATTTATCATGCTGATTCTGGTTGCAAGGCTTGTGGTATTCAGAGTGAAGTGGTGTAAACTGTTATGTGGGTGAGCTTTACTTTACAACTTCTTCAAGCTTAGATGCAGCTGCAGTACAATTTAAAGAGTATTTTCAACTTTTCTTCTTTTTTGTCAACATTAAGCTCATTTCCTTTCTCTACATACAGTTATAGAGCAGAGCATTTTGATATAAGCAGAGTAAACAATATGTCAATTTCATGTAACAACATAAAATGTTTTTAATTATATCACAGTTTCTGAATTTTTAAGAAATCCTAATTCATTTTCTAAATACATCTAAATAAAATTCATTAAATTACCTATTAAAATGTATTCTTTATTCACAAAAGCAAAAGCAAACAATACTCGTTCTAATTTTCTCAGAATTTTTAAGTTTTAAGACCTATCAGCATATTTCAATGTTTAAGATTCATAAGGATTTAAGCATATTTATAAAAGAATAACAAATGTCCTGAAGTTGCTAGTTTAACATAATTTAAAGACAAGTTATAAGTAACATTTTGGTCGGTTAATTGTAAAGGCTACTGATAAGTTATTTACATACAGGATCTTATAATCAATCACTAATGGACAGACAAAACAACCACTTAGCTTTGCTTTCTGATTCATTTTCCATACATGTACTGTCTACATGATACATGAATTTTTCTTTGAAAGTCAAATTGAGCAAGACATGTCATATCTCATCCATTCACTTTTTTTTATTTTTATTTATTTATTTTTTTATGTCGTACTGGGGATTGAACTCAGGACCCTGCGCTTGCCAGGCAAGTGCTTATTCTATTGAGCTATCTCCCCAGCCCCATCATCCATTCACTTTTCCAGATTATACTTCCTTCCAAAGGAGTCTGACCTCTGAATTTCTGCCATCCTGTAATGAATTTCAGGGATCAATTTTTTTACTCTGTACTCTGCCTGTGAGAACACATCACCTCTACAGGTTTCATGATACACAAGAACACAGATATCTATTTAATTGACTACTTAAGGTTATTATTGTTTTCTTACTCCCATAAATTGTCAAAGAAAATAAAGTTTTTCAAGATACAAAGGATATACCACTTTCCTTGCAGTGTCTGTGTTTTCGAAATTTCATAAAAGTTATCTAATTTAACTATGTATAATATGGTCCTGTTCATATCCTACAGGGTGAGTATAAAAATAATCAGTATTTTGTAAAATGAAAGAGAAAAACATCCAAGAAATGTGTTGATCTCTACCAGGAATGTTAAAAGCACAATAACATAGAATTCAAGATGTTATAAAAGAAAAACAGTTTCATTTGCATCTGAAAACATGGATTTAAGAAAAAGGTGCTGACCTTTAACACTGGGAAAAGGACAGCTTCCAACTCTGATTGCTTCACGCTGGACTAGTTAACGTTGTTTTATCGGGTCTGGTAGACCGATGCCCCCCACATCACTGGCATGGAGATGGAGAGGTAGCATGTCTAGGGCAATAATCGTGCACTTGGCCTCCTTCTCTGGCTCTCATAATGGATTATCCCGATCAATATAACAGTACAGTACAACTATTTCCTGATTAGGATAGCTTTGAACTCAGTGAATTTGTTTTAATTGTCATTTTACTATTTATTTATTTATTTATTTATTTATTTATTTTTGCACCAGGGATTAAACTCATGACCTTGCGCTTGTCAGGCAGGAGCTTAAACTGCTGAGCTATCTCTCTGGCTTTTTACTTGTGATTCTCGCTTTTTTTTTGGTCTTTTCTCTTTCTTTCTTTTTTTTTTTTTTTAATTTATTATTATCACTTATGGACACCGAGTCTCACTAGGCAGCTCAGACTTGCTGCGATCCTTCTGGCTCAGCCTCTCAGCACTGGTATTACAAGCGTGCACCACCATGCCTGGCTTGGGGTAGCATGGCATGCAGGATCCAGAATCGAACTCAGACTCTTGCGCTTTCCCGCAGGCACAGAGATTGTTGAACTATTTCTCCAGCCCTCTTTTATTTTCTTTCTTTCTTTTTTTGTTTGTTTGTTTAGTTATTGTTGTTTTATTTGCTTTTGCTTTTTGCTTTTGGGTTTTCTTTCTTTATTTTTTCTTTTTTGCCACTGGGTAAAAAGTCCAGGACCATTTCACTGGGATACCTCTCTACCTCCCCCCTTAACTTTACTTTTTTCAATTTAGAGAAAAGTTCCTCCCAAATTGATGTGCTAATTCACTGGGTTGCAAACTTGAATAATGAACACCTAGTAGGTTAGTTTAGCTCAAATTTGGTCATCTGGATGAGATGATCGTTTTACAGAAGAGAGAAGACTCGTACAAAACCTAGGGGGTGGTAACTAGGAGGCACATAGTCTGGATGGAACAAAACCCATGAGAAGTCTGCTCTCTTCTTCAGAGGCACTTCAGTGATTGATGCCATCACATGGAAATGTTCCTCTCGGTTCCTTCAGGCTTCCGATGCAGATCCTTCAGACCTCTGATGCCAACCGCCAGTGAACTCTGCAGTGAACTACAGGCCTTGACTTTAGACTGGATCCTTTGTCTCACTCTGGTGCTTTTGCATTCTTTTACCCCTGACTCTGCAGGTGGCCCATATATGCCTTTTAAAAAATCTTTTATGTATCACATGCATGTATGGTTACTGAAAGGAGTAACATTAAAAAGACGCCGAGTAGTTTACCACGAGACAATAAAGAAAACATTTTGAGGGAATATGAGCAACCATCAGGCCACCATGTTGTCAGACACAAAATTTCAAAAATGAAAGATTTTGCTGTGGGATGAGCCTGAAAGGACCCTGCTGGACAAAGTGAAAGGCAATTTTGCCAAAGTCTTTGCAATTTAGGGCAGCTGTTCAGGTACTCAGGGCAGTGCAGTCACAATTAAAGGATGCCAGGCTGTTGCTCAAGCTTGTGGCAGACATTGGTATCATTCACATGGTGTTGCTTTTGTACACATACAGAGTGAAGAGTTCTGGTGTTAGAGAGGCTCCTACCCAGCTCAGAAGGCACAGGAAGCCAGGCAGCGTGCACTGAGGAGCAGCGTTTGATTCTGCACAAGTGAACATGCCTGAGACATGGGAAAATCCAGGAGTGTGGGGCATCTGAAAAAAAGGTGCAAGGAGTGAGGAAAGCCAACCCAAGAGAGAGGCTGCAAGGGCTGCAGCCACAGGTATTGAGCACCATAGGGTTGAAGCTGCTGAAGCCCTTTGGAGTCTACATCTGACCTGAATTTGCCTTTGGCTCTGTACATGGATCTACAGGACCTAATGTTCACCATGTTGGGCTGCAGTCTTGCTTTGGTCCCATTCTTTAGTATCTTTGTATTTCTACTTTGTGGAATGGAAATGCTTACTCTGTACCTTTCTATGTCCACAGTGTTTGACTTTCTTTTGATATTTAAGAAGGCTTTCACCTAAGAGTGTGCATTAAATCTCAGAGAAGACTTTGGACTTGGACTTTTCAGCAGTGCTAGAGCTGTTAGGACACTAACAGCTCTTAAAGATGAACTAAACACATTTTGCATAAAAGGATTTACATGAATCTCTTAGGAGGTCAGAATATTGGGGTTTAAAACTAGAGGTTTATGCTAAGTCTCCTGTGCTTACAGGAGGTAGGGCAAAGGGGGTTCTGGGAGGTGACTGGATGGATCACAGGGGTGGTGCTAACCCACTGGTGATTTCATTCATGCATATGATGTTGGGAGCTGGAGGCTGGTCTGAGGAGATAGACACTGATGATGTGGCCTGGAAAGTGTATTGTGGTGCCCTGGTTCACGAACTTCATTTGTTCTACAATTTTGGAAAAGATGACATTGTTTGTATTTCTGTGAAAAGATGGCCATAGTCACACTCATTATCAGATGCAGATTTTGTAAACAAAACCAAAATTTTGTCTTCTTTTTATCCAAAGAAAAGTGTTCTTGAATTGAGATACTGCTGGATCTCTCCTCCTTCCCCCGATTTCTCTAAGCTCTCTGCCACCATGCCAGGAACTGTTCCTTGTCTGCCATCCCTTCTCCCTGCCATTCTGCCATGAAGCCAGCTATGACTAAGGAATGAAACCTTTGTAAACTTCATGCCAAATGGAATATGTCCTCCTTTATGTTCCAGGCATCCGGTACTGCATCTCAGGGATGAAGAAAGCCAAAAAAAAAAAAAAAAAAAAAAAAAAAAAAAAACAAAACAAAACAAAACAAAAAAACTTGCTAAATTGTCCAAATTGAGCTTGAGCTAGCGATTCTCTTGTCTCTATTTCCAAGAGTTGGGATTACAGGCATATGCCATCAGACCTGGCAGTGAACATTTCGTTTTGTTTCTTAAATGTGAAATGCTTCACGAATTTGCATGCCATCCTTGCACAGGGGTCGTGCTAATCTTCTCTGTATCCTTCCAGTTTCAGCCTAGGTGCTGCAAAGCGAGCACTTACGACAGTTTGTCTCATGCTCTAAGAGTCATGTTACTCTATAGTTTTCTACTAAAAGTATCTTTAATCTGCCTTATCACAGCATCCATAGTACCCATGCATTTATCTCGAGGAATTAGAAAAGAAAGCACAAATCTTAAAAAAATAGTGCGTTGGTGCCTGGGTGCAGCACTTGGTGACCGCATTCACCGTGGGGCCGCACGTGCACTTAACACAATTCTGGTCTTTTCTCATCCCCATGTCTTCTCTCTTCTGTCTTTTGATTCCCATTCCTTTTGCAAAATATTTATCCCATTTCCTATTACCGACCTTTTATTTCTCTCTCCAATTTTTTTATGTTCTAGGTTTCTTACAGGAGAGAAATCGTGCGCTATCCAAGCTCATGTGTCTGATTTGCTTCATCATTGTAGTCTCAGGGCACCCATTTTCCTTCAAGTGCCTCAGGCTTTTCCTTCTTTGTGGTAGCGTAGTACCCCACTGGGCACAAACACGTTTTCCTCATGCATCCCTCTGTTGATGGGCACAGGGGCTGTTTTCAGCATTTAGGTATTGGTAATCGTGCTCCTCTAAAGGCGGGATTATTTCTGAGAGAACCGCTGTGGGGTGGCTGATCCGAAATCTATCTCAAGCAGTGCTCTTGTCTTTGTGACTGGGTGAATCCCGTTGGCCTGCACATTTCACACAAACAATTCCAAGATATTACTGTCATTTGATTTAAAAAAGAAAAAAACAAAACTATTTTGGGGATCATTAAAAAACTGAGAAATTATGTCTTTTGTTTCTTCCTGTGTTCAAGAGAGGTGTTTAATATAACGCTTAAAGGAACATTATGGGCACCAACTTGTAAACATAATCATAGGTAATCATCTTTCTAAAGTACTTTATTATTGGACAAGGTTTTATCTTCGTATTTGCTCTGGTAACCGGCAGGAGGAAATAAACCACAAAGCCTAATTTCTGCCTTGACAATTGACTCTTACCTTTTTATGTAAGGGTTTAAGATTTTCTGCCGATGATGTTTTGTTAAAAGGACATTTTGTTCCTCTCACAGTGTTAATTTAATCTTTTTGGATATTTGAGTGTTTCTGATTTATCTAATTCCCTACACATGTTTAAAGGCATTGATCATCTCATATTATCTTATCTATGTCAGTTTGTCCAGTGTCTAAATGCTTTTTGATACTCAACAATATTTGTATTGAGTTAAATTTTTCTGAACAATAGTTTTCCTTTCCAGGATAGGCTTTAGGACATTTTAATTTGAAGGACTTTCTTTTAGCTTTTTTTTCAGATAAAAAAGACTCTACAGGAAAATTGTAGTTTTTAGGGTGTGATATTCAATTACCAAAATCAGATGGAAAATAGTATTTAGGATGAATTATTTTGTCCATTCATAGGCTTTGTAGATAAATAAAGAAAGAAACATCTGAATGAACCTGTATCTTTTCTTTTTTTCCAGATAAGCACAAGATGTGAAGAAGGGGCTTTCATTAAGGATTCCAAGGTAAAGTAAGCTTAATACACTGAAAGAGACTTCGGCCCAAGCACCCCTGCTGCTCTTGAAAGGAGTCAGAGTGCTGTTCATACAAGTCAACTGGCAGTTATTATATACTAAGTGAATAATTCTTTTCAGTGTTCTTTGTTAACACCAAAACTTCATTTCACTGAAATTTAGAATGCTAATCATATCATTCTTAAATATGAACCAAGGGGCTGGCAATTTAGCTAAATGTTAGAATGCTTGCTTAGAAAGCTGGAAGCCCTGGGTTTGGTCCTCAGCAGCAAAAAGGAAAAAAAAAATTAAAAACCTTCCCTAAGAAAACCTTTGGGCCAGCCAAATAGCTCAGCAGATTAAAGCACCTGCTCAGGCAGAATGCAGTGGCTAAGGTTCGATCCCCAGCGCACTGTGCTGGCTCCAACCCCATGGCCAATGATTGAGACTGGGCGCGGTGGCGCACGCCTATAATCCAAGCCCTTGGGAGGTTGAAAACAGGAAGATCACTATGAGTCTGATCTGTGTAGTGAGACCCTGCAGGCCCTGTACTAAATACAAAAAAAGTAAAAAAGTATAAGTTTTGATCTTGAATGAATGGGAAATGGCTATTTTGACATGTGTTTTATTGCAATATTTGAGCTTTACGAGACTTCTGTACATTAAGCTAATGATTTCTTCATTGGTACACAAACTATTAACATCCTAAGTCATCTTGTGTTATGGTCAAAACTCAGATGATTAGATTTCCCTTAGAACTCTAATAGCAAAAAAAATTATCTCAAACTAAAAACACTTTCTCCATGATCATAATCAAACCAAAGGTACCTTCCTCTACTACCTCTCTGTAACACAGTAGCAGAAGTGCTAATCACAAAAATTAGACAAATAAATGTGATAAAAATCATCTTCAGAGGAAAAAAAGACACAGATTTATCTGTTTGGAGAAGACAATATTTTAAATGTCTAATACTCTAGCCATTCAACAAAAATGTTTAAAATAATGTAAAATTATTACAGCAAATTACAAGATAAAAAACTAAAAATCAGTTGTGTTTTGCACATTCACAGTAAACAATCTAAAAAAGATAGGAAAAAATAGACAATAAATACATTAACATTATCAAAAAGAATACTTCAGTCTAAACTGAAAGAAGGTAAAGAATCAAACTCATTCATAGAGGAGAGAAGACACAAATAAATGATAGACAGTTGCTTATGCATCACTTAGACTATTTCTCATTGTTGTCACCATTATCTAAACAAGTTGGAGATTCGCTGCAAAACCAAATCAAAGTCGCAAGCACTGGGAAGGAAGCCAGAGTCTTCACTCTGTACTCCACTGCCAGCTTTTTCTTTTTATGTTTCACTTTCAGACAAGGTCTCATTAAGTTGCCCCATTTTGGGCTCAAACCTATGTTACTCTGGCCTCAGACTCACAGACTGGTGGCATTGTGTTTGTGTACTAGGAAGCTCAGCTAGGAAAGCACGTTCAATAACAATTCTAAAGCTGTCCAATGGCAACAGGACAGGGGTTTCAGCAGATGGTGTTGTGAATCAGTATATGCAGATTAGAGATAGACTTTATATCCTACACAAAAATTAAAAATGCTTGAAGTCCTAAAGTAAAAACCCAAACTGTAAAATTATTGAAAGATGAACATGCAGAAAATTGTTTATGACACTGATAACAATTTTCTGGCTAGAACTAAAAATCTACTAGCAACAAAGAAAGAAAAAGGAAAAGACAAGATAATGAACATGAACTAAGTGAAAATGATAATTCCAAGTGAATCAAAAACCATGCGCAACAGCAATGAAAGACAGCCAGGAAAGGGAGAGAATTTTTCAAATTCACATCAAGTTTGCTCTCTAAATTATATAAAGAACTTCTAAAGTGGACAAAACCTTTGAATAAACCTTTCTCTATAGATTTACAAATGCAGTAAACATAGGAAAAGTACTCAACACCACCAATCATTAGAGGAAAACAGACTAAAACCACAATAAAATAATCCTAACCTTCACATAGATAAGGATGTTTGGTGTCAAAGCGTAAAATAAAATAAAAGAAATCAGAAGTAATGAATATCGAGGATGTAAAGTAACAGGACTACTTGGGAATATGTAATGGTGTAGTCACGTTGGAACCTATGATAGTTCCTCTAAAAAGTGAAGTAAAATACTATATAACTTTCAATACCACTCTTGGATATAAACGCAATAAAAGGTAAAGTAGATTTCAAAAAGGTATTTGGGGGTAAGGGAGATAGTGAAGTGGAGTAAGTGCTTGCCTGGCAAACAAAAGGTCCTGAGTTTGATCCCTGGTACCACCAAAAAACCAAAAATTAACAACAACAAAAAGATTTGTACCCCCATATTCATAACACCTTTGTTCACAATAAATACAAGTATAGAATCAAATATGATGTCTATATATAAATGAATGCATTTGTTTAATGGGTATACATATATAATTTAATATTATTCAGCTTTAAAAGCAAAAGATAAATGCTGGCACATGAAAACTCACATTAAATTTGAAGCATTATTCTGAATGAATCAAGACATAAAATCACAAATAACATAGATTCCACTTATCTGTCCTTTCTTGAAGTCAAATTCATAAACAGAAAATACAATGGTTTTATTTATGAAATGGACATTATGAAATGGGACCCCAAAACTCAGTGGAGGGTTTTTAAGCTCTACAATGCAAAGAATTTAGGGGACATAGTCATATTTTCACAACAATTTGAGTATCCTTACTATTGAATAATATAGTAAGAAACATGATGGTGAATTTTGAAATTTAAATATATGCAGATTTAATATTTCAGACTATTGTATTTGTACAAAAATACCTGAAAGCAACATTTTTTGTTCAGAGAAGGTATTCATTTAAATTCAACATAAATGTTGTGTTTATATACAAAGTACAAAGTTCCAAGTGTCTTTCATTTTCCTTTTCAGCCTTTGTTTGGTTTATTTTATGTTATTGTCGTAAAACTGTTTTTGCTCCTTCCATCATTTCGGTTGAGTTCTTATTAACATAGCTGGCAGAAATTCATATTAATCTTCCTTGCAGAGTACACTTCCTATAGAATACAAGACAGTGTGCGTGTGTGTGTGTGTCTGTGTGTAGAGCAGTAATTTTAATGCTTGTTCTTCCCACTTAATTTAGCAGCATTTCCACAGCTGTTTACTGTTTAGCCTACCAAGGAAAAATGGTCTCAACTTAAAATGATAACTGGGTTCACCCATTCGGTCTGACCTGCCCCCTTACTCAGAGGTGTCCAGCGGGATCAGGAATTCCCCGCCCCCAGCTGGTGGGCACTTCCGGGTTTGACCCTGAGAGTCCCCCGCTCAAGCTGGGGGATTGCGTTCTGGCATCTGTAATGAAACCAGCTGTGCTCATTCTCTCTTGGCATCTCCATACACTCGCTTGCTTTCCTCTGTGGTTGGCAGAGGAAAACATTTTGGTTTGGGTCTACAAATGTAATTTCT